AGAGATAGACGCATTTCACTAACACTTGATAAGAAAGTGATCATACAACCCATTATTTAAGGTTAATAAATATGGAGCACTTCATATTCTATTAAAATTTATATCCCGTAAGAGAATCTCAAATATTTCTAGACATTTTTTTAAATAAAATTTTATATAAAATCTTAAAAGTATATATAAAAATTATATGTTTATATGTCGGGTTGGTTCAGATTTTTTTTACTTAATACCAAACCAAATCAAACCAAACCAAGTCGATTTTTTAATCGGTTTGGTTTGACTTTTCGGTTTGGTGCGATTTTTCGGTTTGGTTTGTACGCCCCTACTACATGGCGTCCACAATTCTGAAGTCCCCGTCTATTTTACTTTAGCTGTGTGTTTATTTTCAGACCGCTTTATTTTATTCAGACCTTTATTTGTATTATTCTAGAAGCTCGTGCACTTGTGACACTAATTCTGGGATGGTATTTAGACACCGTTATTTTTATGAATTATTTTACTATATTTCAAACTTTGCTTCCGCTTTTGGTTCCTTGATTATTAATAATGTAAAGATTATTTAAAAATTGGTTAATATTATTCTAACATTGGCTTGCCTAGCAAGTGAAATGTTAGGCGCCATCACGGTTCGAAGGTGAAAATTTTTGGTCGTGACAATTAGAAAATATAATAAGTTTATAATCTCATTTAACAACAAAATTCTATTTTAATGACATCACTCATTATATGCCAAGTTTGCTAATGACTCATTATTTTTAATATTAGGAGGCGTAGTTTAAAAAATTAAAATAATAATGCAGTTACGCTAAATGAAGAAAATAAAATAAATAAGAAATAAAATATACGAGGAATTACATGGAATCACAAGAAGTAAAGGTAGAGAAATAAAAGATAAATAATGTACAAAGAAAAATATATTTTAAAATTTAAAAAGAAATTAAAAAGTAAAAATAAAATAAAAAGAAATTAAAATAATGGAAATAAAAAGTTATAAAGAAAAGAAATTAAAATAGAAATAAAAAGGAAAGAAATTGAAAAGTAATCTGGTAATTACACAGTGTAATTACCACCAAGTCTCACCTCTCCCTTGAGAATTGAATGGGGTAAGAATTTAAGAGTGTAATTACACCCCTCCAATTACGCTCAATTCTATGATGACCAAGTAATTACTGGATCAGACAAATATGTCAAACTTTATAATTATACCAATTGCACCCAAATCTAATTTCTAGGTGGGAAAGGGGCTCTAAAGCACATGGATATATGAAATGTAAAAGAGAAAAGGCCAGGTATAATCTTGCATTGAGTGAGGGAGTTTGGTCATCTCCCGAACAAGGAGGGCCCACTTGATTTTCTACTAGGTGGGACCCTTTGCTTTCATGCATCATCATTAAGCCTACAATGGTTGCTCACCTACCAAATCCAAGATGAGGGCTCATATCCAATAAAATAAAATTCTCCATTTTCTAGAAAAACTTCTCAAAAGCAAAGGAAGATCACATGATAATTACCTTAATTTCCAACTTTTGTCTCTCAGTAAATTAAAGTACTCCAATTTGTTACCTTAAAATCCACACCCTTTTGGCCTAAATTTCTGAGAATTTTAGATTTTGACCCCGGATTTTTATCCGATATATCCGATCTTGTGTTTAGTTCTTAGAAAGATTTGTTTCTTTTTCTTTCTTTTTTTTCCTCTCTTTTTCCTTCTTTTATTTGTCAAATATGACAACTGAAATTCGAAATAACGATATTTGATTATTTTCATCACAGTTTATTCCAAAAATTACAAAACGGGAACTCAAAGACAAGACGTTTGAGATCTGTATTCAGTACTTAGTATTTACTTAGGACAGCTAGATGGATTTGTCGCTAAGCTGTGATTTTGTAATGCTTTATTGGTGATTAATAAAAGAATTTAATTACAAAAAAAAACACAAGAAATTTGGTTTTTGAAATACATTAGGGAAATTTCTTTATTTGGTAAGCCTTATACTAGTCATCTACTTTGTTTTGACTTGTTTAATTAATGCCTACTTCTTTCCCCTTTGTACAAATATAATGTTTATTATTTTATTTTTAAAAACTTCATAAAGTAACCAATTTAACTTTAAGTTGCAATTAATTGTTCGATTTCATTTCCTTAAATTTCAGAAGGAAAAAAAAAATTCTTTTCTTTCTTTCCCTTCTCCTGTTCATACAACACATATATTTGCATTGGCAAAAACAAGGCAAACAAAACATAATTTGCGGAATATTCCATAAAAGGTTAAGTTACGTTTGTCACACAATGCTTCTAAAATATTAAACTAATTTTGGATTCTCCTAGACAAGAAAATTCCACCCTTAAATTTTTATCACACTTACGGAGAATCTTTTATTCATTGTTTTGTTTGTACTCCCAAATTTTATTATAGAGAGAGATAAACTATTTTTCAAAAATACTTTATTTGTACATAAACTATTTCAACCATACACAACTTAAGAATACTTTAAGCTTATTATAAGAAGAATTTGTTTTTGGTTAAAATAGGTTATGCTGGGGAAAATGGTCGAAAAGTAAATTTTGAACTACTTTTCATAAGATTTTCTTATGTCCTATGAGTGATCAGCCTAAGTTTTGTGAGCAAATCTATTTCATATTAGAGATAGCATACACATAAATAATCAAAATACACATAAGAGGGTTTAACCGCACTATGATTAAAACAAACTATTCTAAATAAGACAAGAAAATAATTAGCATTAGGAACTATTTCTAAGAGGTTTAAATTTCGAAATGATTGCAAATCAAAATTAAAAGCAATAAGATCCTATTTACTTGGAACATCTAAACCTTAAATTATTTTCTTATAAATTAGTTTCAATAATCACAACTAGTGTTTGCCTATTGTCAACTAAAATTTTATAGCTACAAATTGTCTAATCACTTTTTTTAATTTAAAATATCAAAACAACATTAGTTATCCAAAACCACCATATAACGACAACAACAATAACCCAGTATAATCCCACTAATGAGGTATGAGGAGGGTAGTGTGTATGCAAACCTTACCCCTACCTTGGGGTAGAGAAGCTGTTTTCGATAGACCCTCGGCTCCTTCACTCCAAGAACTCTCTACCTTGCTCTTGTGGTGACTCGAACTCACAACCTCTTAGTTGGAAGTGGAGGGTGTCACCACTAAAGCACTTGAAGTAAAAGACTAAACTCAATTTATGTTTCGTGTAATGGGGAGAATGGAAGTGTAGTTAGTATTCTTTCTTTACCACATGTAATACTGCTTAATATTTCAAGTAATTAAAATTGAAAAGCTACTAATTAAATTGTGAGTGAACATTATTTTTTCCAAAGAAAATACATGCTCCTTTAGTCCCAAATTAATGTTTTAGTCTACATTACGAGAATCAAATTATATAACTTCCTCAAATCTTTTATAAATGTTAAAAAACATAAAACACTCCTATGAGAATCAACTTAAAATACTTTTTTCAACTAGAATAATATTTAAACGCCTATTGAAAGGTTTAAATTTAGGACCCCTAATTGAGTCTACGTGGCATCACAAAGCACACAAATGGTCAAGGTCCACGTCCCTACAAGCAGGAGAATTCCCCCCCGTAATAGAACACCAAAACATGCCACGTCAACATACTAATTGAAAGGGTCATTTCCGTCATTTAAATCGGTCAAAAAGAAAAGCCTTCCGCCCCGACCAGCATCCCTCGTCTGGTCTAAATCCGATGACATCGGCATATGCAACAGAGACAAATGTAGAATCAGTTTTAACCCCCAATTTCTCTTTAAATTGTTTAGTTCACCCCTTCACTTTCTATGTTGCCATCTTGATATAATTCTTACACTTTGTCGAACGTTAAATGACATTGTTGGTAAAATTTTGTAGATATTATGAGTCTTTTATTGACGCACGCTTATGAATAATGAAATTTCTCTTGATTTATGAATTTGACTTGGATTATTGAAATTGTGAGTCTTTTATTTAATTAATATTTTATTTTTCTTCAATTACAATATTTTAATGCTAATTTTTTTCTCTTTAATGTTTAACAAATAGTGAGATAAAATGAAAAGAGGCAATAATAAGATGAAACATTCGTTCATTCGTATCTTTGTTGCAGTTGAAAGATCATACTATGCACATGTTCTTAGCCAACGAAGTGGAAAAAAATTTTATCACTCTTATATATGCATTAAGACAAACTCATTTGATTTTACGTTCATGTTAGTAATGACTTGATTTTATGACGTCAAACAAGTGGTCCTTCAAATTATTTTTTTCCCTAAAGATTTGCTGAAACTTTAAATTCTTTATTATGTATTTCAAATCTGGCATATTTAGTTTCGCCTTCTGCATATCCTAAACTTAAACTAATGTTACATTAAATTTATATAATTATCTAAATAAAAAATAATATTTTTCTCTTATCACATGTCAACTGAACATTTAAGGGCCACTTATACTTTTCATTCCTTTTTTTTTTTTTTTCAAATTCTAAATTTTAAAATGAAAAAATAGACTAATAAAAAGTAAGATTTGATGAAATGTGACTTGTACTTTTAATAACATTTGTGATAGCAATAGTACTTCTAAACAAATAAAACAATATCCTAGAATATTCTAAGTGATGATAAAGTAATCAATTCAAAGTTGACTATTTTTATTGGAGTAATATTCATGTAGCAATTAGAAAAAGGTCATTTTTTCATATAAAAATCAAATGCTAAATTTGACTAATGAACTCAGAAATTCCTGATCAAAAGAAGTATTCTAGCATTCAAAGAAAAATAATTGTACAGTTAATGTGAAGTGTAGAAATTATAAGTTTGAGGGGCATGAAAGAAACATTTTGTTCTAATCAGAACTTAAATTCTAACTTTTGTTTTTTATGGGGTGTGAAACTGTGAATTGTCTAGTTTCTGGTAAAACTGTTAAAAAAGAAAAAAGAAAAAAAAGCATTGGAAATGTCTTTCCTTTTTCTCCTCAGAGAATTTGCTTGCTTTTTGTGTTCTTACTTTGACCCTCTCTGTACTTACGCGGACACCACCTCCTTCTTCTTCTTCAACAATCTCTCTCTCTCTCTCTCTCTCTCTCTCTCTCTCTCTCTCTCTCTCTCTCTCTCTCACACACACACACACACACAAAATTCTTCTTACGTTTTGTCAAATTTTCACTCCGCCGGCGCCGGTAACCGCTCCACTAGCGGCGCCACATTTCTCCGGCCACTGGAAAACGGCCGGAAGAGTTGTTGAAAATACAAAACCACGACGATTATTGTTTTGACTTAGACGACTTTTGTTTGACTTGAAGCATTGACCGGTGAAAGCCTGTAGGTGGTGGAGTTGTTCAGATCTGTGAGGATTTAATTCCTAGGTTTTGATGTTTTAAAGGTTGGAGAGTTTTTTGAAAGAATTTTGAAGTGTGGATGGTAGTGTACGGACGGAGGAGGGCGGTGGTCGTCGGAGTAGATGATGAGCGGAGGAAGGTGGGGGAGGTGGCGGTGGTGGTGTAAAATTGCTTGTTCTTTCACATGGAATGGCAGATCTTGTTAGCTATGGTGATGCCCACCGTGATATTGACCAGGTCACCCTTTACTTTTATTATGTTATTTTAGTTTTTATTATCAGTTTGAAGATCTTTTTGACCTTTTTCATTTGTTTGGGTACTTTAAAACACAGTAATGTAGATGTAGTCTTAGAGGATAAAAAAAGCTTCTTTACTAGAAGCAGATTACAATTTGACAAAGCTTTGATTAAACCTTCTTCTTTCGGTGCCTTATTAGAAGTAATTATCAGTATTGATCTCAGCTAGTTTGGGATTGAAGCTAACTTGATTGATTGATTCATGATTGATTGTACTTTGAAGTAAGATAGGTTGTTTGGAGATTTTGGGGAGCGGGTTGGCAGTGTGGCAGAGAAGAAATTTTGTAGGTCCAAATGTATCTGTCTGTGCTTGTCGATGCTAATTCTGAGTTGTTAATGTTTTTGAGGTTGAGAATTTAGAGTGGGGCTGTACTTTAAAGACAGGACTTAAAGCATTGGACTCAGGAAGGATGTTATTGGGTTATTCACCAAGATGACCCTATTCACATTTCCATGGTTCAAATTTACCAGCTTTATGTATAGTTCAGGGCCTTAGTTGGGTGTATTAAGAAGCAGTAACACTTATCTTACTCCGATCATTACCATTTGGTTGAAAAATAAATGTTAGACCGCAATCAGTATTTCCACCATTTTTTAGAAAGTAACATACTATTTCCACTGGAATTGCGAAAGATATCCATAAATTAGTTGCATATAGAAAGTCTAGGACATGTGTGATCCGTTAAGATGTGATTCTTCTATTTATCAGCTACTATTCCGAAAGGAGATAAAAGTTCTGATTGCAAAACTGTTGGAAGTTAGTGGCACAATCTCGCATATCACTAGTTTACTTGTTGTAAATTAGTGGCTGAAGCATGTGATTACTTATTAAAAGATAATTCTTTTGATATGTTAGTGTTTAAAAGATAGATTTTCGTGTAACTCTCTTTTATTAGAAAAAACTCATTTATTCATTTAACTCTTGCCCTAACTAGTTCTAGTCATACATCCCAATGCATTATGATCTTGTTCCAGAAGAAATGTCTTCTCTAGACTCATTTCTCTTACCATTGGCAGGCATTAATTGCTTTAAAGAAAGGAGCTCAACTGTTGAAATATGGCCGCAAAGGGAAGCCCAAGTTCTATCCATTTAGACTTTCTAATGTAAGTTGGCATTAGCATGGGTACACTTTTTAGTTATGAGGGCTTTATGAAGTAATACTGCTGAGTGTGTAGATTTAGAGGTGTGTCATGCTTACTATATTGCATTTTATCGAGCTTGAGCTTCACTATGATCTTATGATTCTCTTGATGCTGTACAGTGTTATTAATTCAATAACAAGTCTCCTGCTATGTTATATTAGTATTTCCTGTGAACTTTCTACTTCTATTTTGATTCAATGAATCAGTATAGACAAATGTTGGAACTTTAAGCAGTATGGTCCGATTGTTCATAAGATATTTGGTTCTGTAGGTTATTTGTCTTAAGCCTCGATGAACAATGTTGTAGGTAGTTGTGAAGCTAGTAGTACTTGTGGGTGAGTTTTGTATGTGTAACTATAATTGGATAAACCAGCAGTAACATTTTCAAAGGGAGTTCAAATAGTAAAACTAAATCCTAGGAAAAGCAGAGAAAAGTCTTAGTTTTAGGTTTCTTAATTACCTCAATACTTATATGAATTATACCTTTTTATGCTCTTTAATTTTTTTACTAATAATTATCTTGTCTCAAAAACTTCTATGCCCACACGTGTTCCCTACCCACAACTTAATCTGGAAGCGGTTGCTTTCGTGCTCTTTTTTCCGTTACTACATCAGCTGATATATTGTGACAGTCTTGACAGACAAATTCAACATCAAATAAAGGTCTGAACTTTCATGAAAACCAGTAATATGTTCATCTTTCAGTTCATGGAATGGGAACTCTGACTAATCTAAATGAAATCTGGTCGATGTGCTTGCATAGGTCATGTCACAGTATACTTAAAACTTTTTTGTTTGTCAAACTATTTAATTTCTATGGCGAGAAAGAATCTAGAAGGTAATAGAATATGTGGGAGGAGATATTGTTGGAACCCCATATTCTTTCAGTAGAGTTAGATATAGAGACGACATTCTCACAATAGTTGGATATAGAGACAGCTATTTTTTTTCTATAAAATAAAGAGAGTTGGATGTATAGACAGAAAATACTGGCATAATGTGATGTGAAAGGATAAGAATTTGCATTAACTAAGATTGATTAAAACATGTAAACAATATGTGCTATAAGCGTTCCAAATTAGTCAAAAGAGCATTTCAATTGATACTGAATGATTTTTAAAAGGTCAGATTTTGGTTCACAATTTGGTAGGGGACTAGTGAATTGTGGTAATTTGACTTCTGAGAACGACGACATCTTCTGTTTATCTTTAAAATTAAAATTTAGTCCCAGAATGTTCTTGATCCCGTATAGTATGGTAACACCGGTCATATTTTACATGAAGAAAGAAAAAGAAGAAATGGTGGATAGCTTTCCCCCTTCCATGTTAAACCATTGACCTTATTTATTCTTCTGCTGCAACTTTTATCCATCATCCATTGAGGATTTGTTTAGTCTTTTAAGTGACGAGGGTCAATATACATAAAAGGCACCCTTTTGAGAGGAGCTTCCTCTGAATTTTTCTAGTATATTTTGGGTTTACTCAACATAGTCGAGAAAACATTGAACTTTTTAGAACCTTTGCACGTGCTCATGTTGTGTTGCTAAAGATGTGCTTAAGGCCTTAAGGCAGGTGCAATATAAGCTTGGCACTTTGTTTGTTTAGGTGGCACTCCAGTATTGGTACCATGAGCTCTTCCTCTGCACGGGTTTTTCACTAAAATGCGTCTTTAGTTGTTGCTCTGCCTCGGCAATTCTTGGTTCTTCTTTTTGCTTTTTGTCTTTGAGAACACTGTGCTCATGTTAGTCTTTATGGGAAATTTTCAGGATGAATCGTCTCTAGTTTGGATCTCTAGCAGTGGTGAAAAGAGTTTAAAGTTAGCTTCGGTGTCTAGAATCATTCCCGGGCAAAGAACTGTGAGATTATCTTCATCCATTTTCTCTACTGAATAAATTTTGCTTTTCATTTATGTAGAATACTTTACTCGAAATAACGTTGAAATGTTCCACAAATGGGATTAGCTCTTAAATCTTACCTGTGCTTTTAACTTACCAGGCTGTTTTTCGACGATATCTTCGTCCTGAAAAGGACTACTTGTCCTTCTCGCTCATATATAATTACGGAAAAAGATCCCTCGATCTGGTTAGTGATATAGACCTAAGTTTACCCTTTAATGTGACTATGTAGTTCATTTTCTGGTTTTCGTTGAGTTACACATGTATCTTGTTATTTCAGATTTGTAAGGATAAGGTCGAGGCAGAGTTCTGGATCACTGGTTTGAAAGCTTTGATATCTTCTGGACAAGGTGGGCGCTCAAAGGTTGATGGTTGGAGTGATGGAGGCCTCTACTTTGATGTAAAATTTACCTTCCTAGTTGCTTCTTTGTCTAATTATAAGAGTGGTTTACCCTATTTCTTGTTTAATTCGTATACTAAAGGATAGAGTATTGAGAACTGATAATTCTTATTGACCTTGAATCGTTTTCTTGTGCATGATTCTGATTGGTATATTTAATATGAACTGCAAGTAATATTTCCATTCTGTTCTATAGTTCACTACCTTAGACTGTCATCTGCCAGTTTTTCATAACACCAGTCGCTGAATATTAGTCATTCTTTTTTTTTTTGTGGACACAACATCTCATTATAACATGGTATAGAATCTACCTAATAACCAATCATATGTATAAAAATATAAGATAGCAGCTCTCTACTGATTGCCAAATAGCAATGAATGCCATTGTCTAGTTCTCGATTTGGGTTTTGTCTTGGCAAACTGACTGGCAACTGGTTGTGTTTATCTGTTTCTTTGGTTTGATGTTTATGCTAGCTTGTGATGATGTGTTCAGCATGAGATGTTCCTGCACAAAATTATAATAATATCTAAGAAGTGACACTTGACAGAGATAGTGATATGTGTGAGGTGTGAGCAATGAAATGATTAATATTATATAGATTGTTGCTTTGAATCTCGTATTTGCAATCCTGATGAGGAATATGTTTGATTTGTATTACAACAACAACAATAACAAATAGTGTAATCCCACAAGTGGGGTATGGGGAGAGTAGTGTGTACGCAAACCTTATCCCCTACCTTGTGAAGGTAGAGAGGCTGTTTAATTTGTTTTGGTATTAATTAATGACTTGAATTGATTTCATCTCATCAGATATTGATCCTCAATGCCCCCCCTCCCTTCAAAAAAAAGAAAAACGATCGCAGTCTCCTTCAGTCGATTAGTGTTTTAGTACTCCGTTTGGGTGCATTAGACTTGCAACTAATATCAAACTTCTAATGTCCTCTACAATCTGAACTGAACTATTTTGCAGGATAGTCGAGATTTGACATCAAATAGTCCAAGTTCTAGTTCTGTTAGTGCTACAAAAGAAATTAGCTCTCCAGACGCTTCCTTAAGTTCCAACCCCAATACTTCTCCTAAGAGCTATCAACCTTATAGTTTTGTGCAGTCTGAAAGGTCACATGTAGCTTTGGATCAAGCAAATATGCAAAATATTCAAGCCAAAGGATCTGCTTCAGACGTGTTCCGAGTTAGTGTTTCCAGTGCCCCTAGTACTTCTAGTCATGGTTCTGCACCAGATGATTGTGATGCTTTGGGCGATGTTTATATATGGGGTGAGGTAATATGTGATAACATTGTCAAGGTTGGACCTGAAAAAAACTCCAGTTCAGTGAGCACAAGGGCAGATGTGCTTCTTCCAAGACCACTCGAATCCAATGTAGTTTTAGATGTTCATCATATAGCTTGTGGGGTCAAGCATGCTGCCCTTGTCACCAGACAAGGTGAACTCTTTACATGGGGTGAAGAATCTGGTGGCCGGCTTGGCCACGGTGTTGGGAAAGATGTCACTCAACCTCGGTTTGTTGAATCCTTGTCCTTTTGCAGCGTTGACTTTGTTGCATGTGGTGAGTTTCACACCTGTGCTGTTACAATGGCTGGTGAACTATATACATGGGGGGATGGCACACACAATGCTGGGCTTCTTGGTAATGGCACTGATGTCAGTCACTGGATACCAAAGAGAATTTCAGGCCCTCTGGAAGGACTTCAAGTTGCAGCAGTAACTTGTGGTCCATGGCATACTGCTTTAATAACATCAACTGGGCAGCTCTTCACATTTGGAGATGGAACATTTGGTGTTTTAGGCCATGGTGATAGAGAAAATATATTGTTTCCTCGAGAGGTCAAGTCCCTGTCAGGCCTGAGGACAATTGCCGTTGCATGTGGAGTGTGGCATACTGCTGCTGTAGTTGAAGTTATCGTCACACAGTCTAGTGCTAGTGTTTCATCTGGAAAATTATTTACTTGGGGAGATGGAGACAAAAGTCGTCTTGGACATGGTGATAAAGAACCTCGGCTGGAGCCTACTTGTGTGCCTGCACTTATTGATTACAATTTTCACAAGATTGCTTGTGGGCATAGTTTAACCGTCTGCTTGACCACATCTGGTCACGTCTTTACAATGGGAAGTACCGTGTATGGACAACTTGGAAATCCTTACTCTGATGGGAAGTTACCTTGCCTGGTAGAAGACAAACTTTCTGGTGAAATTGTCGAAGATATTGCTTCTGGTTCATACCATGTGGCTGTGTTGACGTCCAAAAATGAGGTTTATACGTGGGGAAAAGGAGCCAATGGGAGGTTAGGTCATGGGGATGTAGAGGACCGGAAAGCCCCTACTTTGGTTGAAGCGTTGAAGGACAGACATGTGAAATATATTGCTTGTGGTTCTAATTACAGTGCTGCTATATGTCTTCACAAATGGGTTTCTGGTGCTGAGCAGTCTCAGTGTTCAGCCTGTAGACAGGCTTTTGGGTTCACAAGGAAAAGGCACAATTGCTACAACTGCGGACTTGTGCATTGCCATGCATGTACTTCAAGAAAAGCAATAAGGGCAGCATTGGCTCCAAATCCAAACAAACCGTATCGTGTATGTGATTCTTGTTTTACAAAACTGAGCAAGGTGGCTGAGATTGGAATCAATAACAGGAGAAGTGCTGGACCTCGCCTTTCCGGTGAGAACAAGGACCGGTTGGACAAGGCTGAGTTACGATCAGTGAAATCAGGAATGCCACCAAATCTTGATTTAATCAAGCAGCTAGATAGTAAAGCAGTCAAACAAGGTAAAAAAGCTGATACGTTTTCCTTGGGTCGTTCCTCTCAAGCTCCTTTGTTACAGCTGAAAGATGTAGTTTTGTCGACCGCTGGTGATCTGCGTTGGGCAGTTCCAAAACCAGTTATTACCCAATCGGGTGTTAGTTCCAGATCTGTATCACCTTTCTCTAGGAAGGCAAGTCCACCGCGTTCAGCCACACCAGTACCTACCACAGCAGGACTTTCGTTCTCCAAAAGTGTTGCTGATAGTTTGAAAAAGACCAATGAGCTTTTAAATCAGGAAGTTCATAAATTACGGGCCCAGGTATGTTAAGATCTCTGTAGGTGTTTTACGTTTTGCCTGAGTTATATGGTATTTCCTATTTCCTTCTAACTGATGTAATTTTCTGTGACTTAGGTCGAGAACCTGAGACATCGTTGTGAACTTCAGGAGATGGAGCTTCAGAAATCAACAAAAAAAGCCCAGGAAGCAATGGTTTTGGCGGCAGAGGAATCTGCTAAATGCAAAGCTGCAAAAGACGTTATAAAATCGCTGACGGCGCAGGTTTGCTCATACATTTCATGTATTTTCACCCCCACACAAAAAAATACATACTGTACATGTTTATGCATATGTATTTGTATATATATATGTATATACACGCACACATATATGCATTCTTTTCAAATTGAAAAAATGCTGGTTCAAGTTTTCATTTAGGTCTATTGCTTAATGACCAATTCTCCCTTTGGACCCTTGTTTTTTTTTTGTGCTGAATGCAAAGGTGCTTCTTTCCTGTTATTTTCTCTTTTTACAGCTCAAAGACATGGCTGAAAGGTTGCCACCTGGGGCTTATGACGTAGAGAGCCTTAAACTAGCTTACCTACCAAATGGTGTGGACGTGAATGGCATTCACTATCCTGATGCAAATGGGGAACGCCATTCTAGATCTGATTCTGTCGCTAGCTCTTATATGGCCTCTCAAACCAGCATGGACTTAAGTACATTTGGAATGCAAAGCCCCAGCAAATCGCAAAGGGATTCTAGCAGCATTGAAGCTATTACAAGCAATCAAATTCTAACCCCAAATGGTATAGATGATCGAGCTGAAGTTAGACTGCCTAATGGCAGTGGGGCAGAGGTGCGCATCAATAGTGCCTCTGAAGCCGTTGATAATAATAAAGACTCTGGGCCTTTACAAGACAATGAAAATGGACTGCAACCAAGAAATTCTCTGCCTCCTGGCAATCCTAACCAAATTGAAGCTGAATGGATTGAGCAATACGAGCCTGGAGTGTATATAACACTCGTAGCTCTTCGAGATGGCACTAGAGATCTGAAACGTGTACGCTTCAGGTAATTGGCTTGATCACTTTTCGTGACTGATTTTGCTCAATTTACGAAAGATATAAAGTGGTCCTCGTACAAAGAATTTCACATTTGCTTTCTACAACACCATTGGAGAAAATGTTATATCCGATTTTTTTGGAAAAGTAGCTGTATTATCTATTGATCAATGTGTTTTATGCTCAGAAAACATTGCTTACAATGATTCTGATATAATAGTTCTTCTGTAATTGAATTCTACAGCCGCAGAAGATTCGGGGAGCACCAAGCAGAGACTTGGTGGTCGGAGAACCGGGAAAAAGTTTACGAGAGATATAATGTTCGTGGGTCAGACAAGTCATCCGTTACAGGCCAGGCTGCTCGGAAGTCTGAAGGGGCACTCTCTCCGTCTTCCCAAATTTAGCAATTCGTTTAGATATCTTTATTTTTAGCTTCTTTTCTTCTTCTTTTCTTTTTCTACTTTTTGGTAATGGTGGGTGCTGATTGCTCGTCAAATTATTAGGGGGGGAGAGCCAAAACCCTTCAACTTCCGTTCTGACCATATTCCACAAATTCCTCGACCTTTCTCTTTTGTGTTACTTTTTTGGTTCAATCTTAGTTCCTTGGGCGTCCCACCCCTTTTAATTATTTGTTGTATTGTAGTGTATATAATAGTATCAATCAATTATATTTGTTGCCTAGCAGGACCCGCCTCATTTCTCCTTTATTTTTGTTTGTCTTCTTTTAGGCCGACCTTACCTGTTGGGAATATACTTGGTGGGTCTGTTGTTACTGTTGTCGTCGTCTTTTAGGCTGAAAACTGATCCTATAAGCACAGACGGTAAAGAGTCTGAGAGTCAGATGGAAATGAATTTTGGAGAGATGATTTCCGTTATCTGTTTGGATGAGTTGGGATAAAAAGAGGGATATAATGCACTTTTAGACTTTTGCAAAGAAATGCTATCGAGCTATGAGATCATGGCGCTTATAATTAAAGAAGTTCAGTCATGAATTTATTCTCATGTAGGAGAGAGCACGCGTTGAACAAGTGCAAGTAACGTTAAATAGTGAATTTTTTAAAAAGATTAGGTCAACTATTATAGAAGCATTTATTAGTAGTGGGTACAATACTTTCAACTCAATCTGTTGCGCCAAATTCTACTTTTTTCATTTTCCCCATTTTTTCTAAGAGGTCATCCTACTACACGTGACAAGTTCTTAGTTGACTAGGCAATAACAATCCCTAAAACACCAGCGGAATGACCAGTCCAATGGCCGGTTTTTTGCTAAAAGCCTCGAGTTTGTCAGTTGATGGAACTTTGAAATAAAGTGATTGGTTGTCTTTGATTTGGACGTGATGAGACGATAAATTCATGCACGAGATTCATCATTATTTTATTTGTTTGTCATTGTGTTATAATAATGATGTTCGTCTAAAAGTTCTATTGCAGTAGAAGAAATCAATTGCTGAAACAGTGAAGAATTGTAGCAGCTGTAATAGCAGTTGAATTTATTGGATTACTTAAATTTTTCGACAATATAATTGTCTATGACACTGAATTGAATCACAAGCATCTCTATGCGCTATGTTTTTCATTGACTCTGTAAAATCACAAATTTTTGACCGGGTCATATGGTGTACTATTAATGTGTACTGAATTATATATATTATATATATACCAATCCGTAATTTTTTTTACAGATCGCCTAAAGGATAATTTAAGTTATACAACGCCTAATTCTTTCAAGATCCAGGATTTCAATTTGCATAGGATGAAAACCAAGTGTTGCTTGCAAGAGAAGAAGATATGTCAAAATTGACTAAGTTATATAATATAAAACAATAAAGATATAGTAGCACTTTCTCGGGTTCCAATTATTATTATTATTATTATTATTTATTTTTTTTTATCCTTATTGTTCTAATTACTGGAGTATTAAATAATTAAATGAGACGTTTAAGAGAGTGATAAATGACAGTTCAGATAAATATTCTAGTGATTAAGGTTATTAGCTATTTTTCTTAAGTAATGAGTAATAATTTTGAGGATGATAAGACCGCAGTAATTTTGATACTTATTACAATAGAATAGGGGTGTACATGAGTCGGGTTGGTTCGAATTTTTTGATTATCAAACCAAACCAGTTATATCGGGTTATTAAATCTAAAGACCAAACCAAACTAATAAAAGTCGGATTTTTAAATCTCGATTTTTCTCGTATTTTTTGAGTTTTCGGGTTGTTTCATTTTTTTTTCATAAAGTCTTCATAGCACAAAATATAGAATTTGTGCTCCAAATATTTCTTTAATCCTAGTAAGACAGAACTATATAAGGTATTTTTAATAAAATAACATAAATATGAGATAATTCATGACCTTGTACTAAAATATTCGACAATAAAGATGAGAAAATCACATAAAATAAATATTATTAATAAGCCATAATGAAAATAAACATAATTTAAAATTACTAATAAGTTACTAAAATAAGTACGACTAATAAGTACAATTATTTACATGATTAAACACTAAAAGAAAAAGAAGTTATACATTTTATCTAAACCATGAAAAAATTAAAAAATAGATATCCATCACTATTTTCATTCATAGTACAATTGAATAATATCTTTTATTATCATTAGTATTGATTTGATTTTGGTTTAGGATTTATTTGAGTTACTAACATTTATGGATTATTAAACTTATTGGAGCATCCAAGCTTGAAATAATACGTTAAAAGATAAAATTATAAAAAAGTTTAAGAAATATTTATAAACTACACTACAATAAATATTTTCATATATTAAATATACTTAAAACTTCTATTAATATAATATCGGGTTGGTTTGGTTTCGGTTTGACTTTTTGTAGTTAAAACCAAACCAAACCAAATATCGTCGGTTTTTTTTCCAACACCAAACCAAACTATAGTTAGATTTTTTTCTCGGTTTGACTCGAATTAACGAGTTGGTGCGATTTGTTGGTTTTATTTGTACACACCTACAATAGAAATTACTTGTAAATGACATGACATTCAAATTCCAAATTTGCAAAATTTTAGCAGAAGTTTCGTTAGGTAGATGAATAAGCAAATAATGTATGAAACATTAATTGGACTACTTATTTCCACCAAACCATCATGAAAATTTCCCTCCTACTACGACAAACAAATTTTCAATTATATTTAACGACCTTTGACATTGTGCTAATTATTCGTGTAGTCTTACATCTTGATGTTGTAAGCAAATAATATAGAAAATATAATTTCTTGCATTGTTGTTTATCCGTAAAACGATACAATTGAATTTATACTTAATTTCTAGACAAGTGAATTAATTTGATCTTGAAATAATATAATAATTAAAGAAATACATAGTACTTAGCCTTGGAATGTAGATGAAATAGCAAAGATAGTGATTTCGTGAACACGATTTCCGAACACAACAATGATGAGATAAAAAACCAAGAAAGTGAAATTGTATAAAGCTTTGTATAGAATATAATATATGTTCTTGGCAGAAATTTCGTGTTCCTTACAATGATAACTCAACTCACTATTTATAGCTATGTCGAGAGAAGAAGATTTTAGGATCGTGCCCTCCTTTAATGTCAATTATGAGGGTCATTGATGAAGATGTAACGTTGAGCGTAAATGCCAAATTCTTTGTAACAGAACGTCGCTCTTAATGTTGTAGAATATTCCTTAGGAAATGCTATCGGACGCAAAGCTTCTAATACACTTTTATGAACGTTATCCGTTCCGGTGACAAGCACAGTGACTGCGTTCAGTCCTCAGCCATTCCATCTTGGATTACACGTGTCCTTTTAATCAGCCACGCGTCATATTATATTTAACCCAATACAATTCTTCAGATTTGGTAGCATTGTTTACTTAAAAAAGTCTGTCGTCCAAGACATTTGTACGTAGACTTTCTCTAACCTAATAAAGTTTTCAACTCTCATGCTCTTACTAATTAATTTAAAATGATGATTAATGTACTTTTAATTTTAACTTTGGTACTAATAATTCCTTTTTTAAGTTCTTTCAAATAGATGTTGACTTGTCAAAGTATTTGCCAAATTATAAATTTCTCAAACTTAGAACATCATTATAGTGTTATTTAGCTTTATCCAATTCTTTTTACTGATGAAATGTTCTGTTAATATTTTATTTGAATTTTCTTTCGAGACTTTGTGTTCCTCTGACCTTTGGTTTTTAATGTTCATGTGCTACATTTGAGGATCATTTATTTGATTGTACTTTAACTAGAGGATATTAAAACCAAAATTTATTGACTTTTCTTCCATGCAATAATATCAATTTTCCTTTCTTACGTAATAAACTTTATAAACTGCAACACTGCAAACTTGAAATCATGAAGTCGAACAATTATTAAATTTTGAAGCACGTACGTACAACAACTAAATTATATACCTGATGAAGTATGTACTAGAGGCCGTATATTCTTCATTTATTGCGTTTCAGTCCATCAAAAACCAAACCCAATATAAAAAAATAATTCTTTTCAGTTAATTCATTAAATGATCAGAACATGGAAAAGAATAAAATGTTCAAAAGAAAAAAAAATCATGAAGAAGTGCTGTGAATTGCTATAGGCCTTCTCAAAGCCCACCCAAGCCAAGAAAATCAATGGGTTGGGAAAAATTACATATCTTTAACCTCTATCTCCTTTCAAAAATCCCCCCACAAAAAAAAAAAAAAAAAAGGCTATAAAATCTCTTGTACATATTTGTTTTTTTAGTTTTTCGTGTCCGGTATCCGTATTAGGGTCCAACTAAATCCGTATTCGCGCCTGGAAGTCCCATATTGATAGGTAAAGCACTCCCTAACAAAGCCGACTTCATACAGGTCTCGAATTCGAAACCTCTGGTTAAGGATGAAGGAGAACTTACCAGTACACCACCACCAGCGGCGTATCCGGTTCTTTAGTACCGGGTTCATCTTAACTAATATTTTTGGCACGGAACATAAATTTATATGTTAAAATTCACTAGAACTGCAACAAATATTTGAAATGAACCCATAACTTTTAATAATATAATGAGTTCAATGCTAAAAATCTTAAAGGTTGAATCCATAAAATTTAAATTTTGAATCCGGCGTGATTTTTGATTTTTCAACCTATATGTTACTTGTGAGTCAATACTCAATGCCCTCTAAAGCATTAGGCCAAAAAGAAAGAAAAGAAAGAAAAAGAAGATAAATATATTATTATAAAATGTATACTCACGTAATACTGTTCTTTTTTATGGATTGATTTTCTTCATGGCCGAAGCTGTTTGAGGTTGATACCATTGTGCCTTTGGGAAGGAGCAGAAGGTGGAATTGGAACCCCTTTTGGCAAAGACTCTGAGAATTGAGATTTATTAATATGCAAAGGCTTAACTTTGAGAAATTGTGTGTGCCTTGCAGCATAAACCTGGCCAACGATCAGAAGAAGCAAAACAACGAATAGTATTGTCCTCATTTTCCCCATCTAGCTAGCTCCCTAAGCTTGTATATGTTGTAGTTATGGTGAGAATGTTTTTTTGTTGTTGAAAGAAGAAGAGAAGGAAGAGAGGAGGAGTTGTGTCCGATTGTGGAGAGCCAAATAGAAAAGAGGTGATATATGTTTGCTCGGGGTTTCTATACAATAATATTAGTGCGCGCGCGGAAATATCTTGTTTGGTTATATGTCTGCT